GAAAGTAAAGAACCGTTAACGGATCCAACCCTCTTGTGTTGTGCTTTCAAGAAGCATAGGATCTATTTATTCAGGTATACGATTCTTCAGCAAGACTTATACTAGCTGGTAACAGGATGATGTTTGGATTTTAGAATTCTCGAGTAATGCTTCATGCTACATGGTTGAACCACCATTGAGATACTCATGTATTAAAGCCTTAATGGATGATGGGTTATTATGTCAGGCTCATAGCAGTATGTAAATTTGTTTGAATAAAAAATCAAGTGTGATAGTTTATTGTCATCTATATTTACAACATTTTTCAGATGTCTGGCTTAGTTGTCTTGCAGTGGTTGTCTTTAAAATAAATTTCATCATAACTATTGAGGTTCCTGTTCAAAGTTTGTAGTTAATATTGTTTGACCTTTGGGATACATATGATTACACTGATGGTTTCTAATTGGTTTCTAATGATTTATATAGTCGACGAGAACCGGAAGAACCTGAAGATGCCACAAAAGGAAGGGATGTCTTTAATGAAAAGCCACCTGCTGATGAGCTTCTGGCTGTATCTGATATTGGAAAAGCAGTAACAACATCTCTTCCTGACAATGTGGTGAGTTTTCTTTCCATAATGTGCATGGAAAAGGAAAATAAAAATTGTTGTGCCCTCCTTGGTTCTGTTCTCAATAATGATCATAAGAATGTTCAGTAAAGGAAGTGTATAAAAATGAGGAGAGCTTTATTAGAGCTTTGAGAACATAAAAGCAATGACATGATATATCACACCAGTTTTATTTTTATTTTTTGAGAATGATTTAGTTTGAAACTTCTATAAGATAGCAATTGGGATAGAGTTCCAAAGGATCTTGTTTATTACGTCCATCTCTTTCTCTTCCTCTTTTTTGTTTGCATGAAATAATCAATTAATTTGTGACCTAGAAGTTCAAAGGTTATTAGCCTGTTCAGAGCGGTTAATTAGAACAAAATCTTTATTCTGATTCAAAACCTTTTGACTAAATTGGACATAAATGTTTGGTTTGTTGTATAAGCTAAAAAGGTTATCGACATTTAGGGAACGGTTAATTACTGTGAAATCTTTTATTGCGATGGTGCACAAAATACTTGAATTAAGGTTTGGAAATATTTCTGCCAAAATCGGTGCTAGTTTTATCATCCTCTTACATTTTTCCCCTGTAGGAGAGGGTTCTTCAAGTTTATCCTCTGACATAGTTTAGTTCATTCTCTTCACTTTATGTGCATGCCTCGGATTATTTTCTGATTAGTTCTCTATTCATCCAGATATTGCACACCACAATGGGTGATGTTCACATGAGACTCTACCCAGAAGAATGTCCAAAAACTGTGGAGAACTTTACTACCCACTGTCGGAATGGCTATTATGATAATCTAATCTATCACCGTGTTATCAAAGGGTTCATGATACAAACAGGAGATCCATTAGGAGATGGCACTGGTGGGCAGTCTATTTGGGGAAGGGAATTTGAGGATGAGTTTCATAAAAGGTAACCGTTTTAGTTTTTTCAAAGATTCGCAGTGGAATTTTTCCACCTGGCACTAGTAATCTTCTAGAATTTTCAAGTGTGAATTCGGTGCATTAATCAGAGCACCACATGGTTTAAACATTTCTACGTACTAACTGCTGCATGAAACATTTCTATGCTTGCAGTTTACGACATGACAGGCCGTTCACAGTGTCGATGGCTAATGCTGGCCCAAATACGAATGGCTCACAGTTCTTTATAACCACAGTGGCTACTCCATGGCTGGACAATAAGCATACAGTATTTGGTAGAGTTGTTAAGGGAATGGATGTTGTTCAGGTATATATATATATATCTGGATTCAGTATTATATAGCTATTGTGCTTATTGAAGTTTATTTCTTTCATCTCTGCAAACACGTGCACACAAATGAGAGGACTCAGCATGTTCGTTGCTTTGCTTTTCAAACAATTAAAAATATAAAAAATATTGGAGGCTTTGGATTAATAGGCTCTGCACTTGAAACACTGTTGGCAGGGTATTGAAAAAGTGAAGACGGACAAAGCCGACAAGCCATACCAAGATGTAAAAATCTTAAATGTGACCGTGCCGAAGTCGTGAGTCTTTCTAGATATTGTCTGACCTGCGACTGATCCATGTTGGAACTTTGGTTGCCAGTGATCATCTTCCATATTTGTTCTGCTGGAATCAGAAAACATTCCCCTTATCATGCAGTCATAGGCTGACCTTCCTAATTTGGACTTTTTTCAAATGTAGAGTTCATATTTCAATATCGAGTGGTACCAAATATGGACAAGTGTATTTCTTGCCCTGTTGAATTGCATGGGGGAACTTGCTTGTCTGGTGATGAATATCTACACGTATAATGGGATAATATTTGCCATTAAGTACTAGGCTTTTATTTATCACATGATATTTCATTTGTAATTTTATTTGCCATAAATTTTAAGATTTTTGATTTAGAAAAAAAATTCCCTAGTGAGATTGTACATGGCATGTTGTATTTTAATTTTTTTTTACTTTGTAGTTTTAATTTTTTTCAATTTCAGAGATAAATTTATATATCATTTACGTATTTAGTTTTGGGTCGATTTTTGCAAAATCTTGAGAGCCTTTTTGTTTTAAATTTTAAATATAATTTGTATATTTAGGTTTGTCAATTAGTTATTTTCAAATTATTTTATTTGAAAAAAAATTTAACGTATAGTTTAATATATAATGTATTACTTTTTCTTGCCATTGTATTTGTGGTTATCTCATACATCTCTTATCGAATAAACGACTTGTATAATTTATGTAGTTAAGCGTAATTATTTTTTGTAATTGCGTAAAAACTATACATTTCATAATAAATTATATAATATCATAATTGTTCCACTGTACTAGAAAAAGCACGAATCAACCAATTTTAGTAGTTAAAAGATTATTATTATTATCTCATAAGGTCCTGAGTTCGAGCATCTCGTCTATAGGAGTGTATAAACATTTATAGTTAAATGATTGAAAATCTTTTGAACATATATTATTTTATATTTATACTAAATTATTTTAAAAAATTACATTACAAAACGTGTTTTTTGTTTGTTTGAGTTATTGGGCAATGTCTTGTGTAGTTACACATCATAAAATTTGTAATAATTTGTATAATATGTAATGTTTAATGTAATTAAATAAATTATTTTAAATAATCTCTATAATTAAATAATGTTTCGAGTAATTATTATTTTACATAATTACATAAAATATAATAAAATATAATAAATTCATTTATATATAGAGACGTGCATTTCATCATTTTGATTTCATATGCCAGTAATTGAATAAAAATAACTGAAACATTATTATTTTAAACAATAATAAGTATTAAGGTAGTTTACATAAATGATAATGAATGTTTGATTAATGATTTGTTTTCATCATTGAAGTTTCAAAAGTAACAAATTGATCAATAACACTATTGATTTGTAACAAAATGTTAATATTCAATTTTATCCCTAAATTAATGATTTTATATCTAATTTATTCCAAGAATTTTGTAATTTACAATTTTTTTTTCACAGTCCACCACCTCCACTATATTTGAACCACTTTGCACATTTTAATATGTTAATCTGGATCTGTGAAGACAACCAACAAAAGACAATTGATTATTTAAAGATGAAATAGAAAGAAAAAAGCTGCAAGAGATAATACATTTGGGGTGGAGTGTGTATATAGAGGGGCGTAGTCTGCCCTGAAGAGTGAAGGGTACAATACTTTTCTGCATGCAGAATAAGAACAACGAATAATTCAGATGGCAATGGGAAAACTGAAAAATATTTGGTGAGTCGATACATTATCTTCTTTTTTAGCCAAAAAGAAAAACATCACATTTATCTTCTTTGCATGTCATTTTTTTACATAGTTTCAGTCATCTCCTTCCTTTGTTTGACAAGGATTGGATGGAAGTTCTTTTATTCCACAAGATCTGATCCTGTTGCATTCCTCCACTGCAGGGACATTGGAGTTATAGGTGAACATCCACTTTTTCTTCCCAAAACAGGTTGCGAATACTTCCCAGTGGGAGAATGGTATGAGAAGCATGCTCTTTTGTTGGAAAAGTTGCATAATTTTGCCAAACCTCAACTGCTGTTTAATTAGTGGAATTAGAAAACAAATGTTTAACTTGGGTTTTTTGATTTGGCTCCTACCTTTATAAGAGCACTCATCTTTATGTTTAATTCAGGATTTAGTTGATGCAACTTGCTGTAATCCTTTTTAGTTATTGGGTAAATTGCTTCCAAGTTTCAATAAAGAAGGTTCATTTTCAATTCGAGTACAGTGGAGGTGATGAGATATTTGGAAAAAAAAAACTGAAAATTTTAAAAAAATTAGAGGTAAATTAAATATACAATCCTTTTTTAATCATTTATTTAATGTTTTAACAGTAGTTTAAGAATAAAACTTACATATTAATTTCTTCTTGTTAACATTATCACGTTATCAATTTCACATTGATAACAAATATATGAGTGGAGTGACCATCAATAACATTAGTGACCAATCTATCACTTTTAAAACTTGAATGGTAAAACGAAAACTTATTCAAACATCAATGGTCATTTATATAGTTTACCCTAAATATTATAATAGTTTTACATAACTTTTAAATAATAAACAACTAAAACTCAGATTCAACAACTCACCCTAGTCATATATATCATTCCTCCCCCGAACTTTGACGATGCAGTGCTATGCCTCAACAATAATTCTCTTAAAATAAAATGTCACGATGACGGTGCCCTCTTGAAATTTTCAAATTAATATATAGTTTAGATTTTTTTTATTTCCTATTGATAATATGTTTTCATAATTTTATAAGTTTGCCTCTAACGTCCCTAGCATAACTAACCAATTCCCAAAGATAGAGGAGATGGGACATGTATTCCAATCATGTGATACTTGTGCCTAAAAAATAATATAAGAAAAGCAAAGCATAGATTCATTCAGTGACAATAATGTAGCTATATTCATTCAGCAAACTCATCCACAAGCATCGGCCATCCAATCCATAATTATAGCTACAATGTTAACATCTTTAGCTCTATTTTGCAAACAAAATCTTATAGTAAGTTCCAAGAATATCTAAAGCCATGCCCAACTACACACCAAGAAACATAAACAACTAGAATAAAAGCACTGACTGCATATGATTAGAGCAATTCTTTGATACCAGCAATACTTGCTTAGTCGAAGAGGCTGAAACCCATATCCTGCATCGAAAGAGGAAATCATATTAGCAAAACAACAACAACAAAGGGAATCGATACAAGTCAAATTGTGAGATTCGAATGAATACGTCATCGGACTCTTCCTTCTCCTCGACTTTCTCCTCTTTCTTGGCCTCAGCAGCAGGTGCAGCACCAGCTCCACCCCCACCCCCACCAGTTGTAGGAGCGGAAACGGCAACGGCACCACCACCAGAAGGAACTGAAGCCAGCTTCTCCCTTCCACTAGCAATTAGTTCGGTTATGTCTTTGCCTTTGACTTCGGACAGAAGCATCTCTATCTTGTCATCGTCAGCCTCAGCTCCAACTGCAACAAATTAAACGAAAAGAAATAAAATAAGTCCCGTTGGGTTGCTAAAGAATCCTCGAAGAACATAATTCCACATCCCAGAATGAGCTCATATATACTCATTGCAATTAAAATAGTTAACTGTAGTAAAATTACCAAAAAATAGGTAGGAACAAGATTTTTACAAGCAGATTCCCATGAAATCGGATCAAATCGAAAAGAAGTAACGAATAAACAAATCATGGATAAATTAACCCTAACGCATACAAGTGAAACACCTTCGAATCAGAGAGAGAGGGAGGAATGACCTGATCCAAGAATAGCCTTCAAATCATCAGCGGTAGGGGAAGTGTTCCCCCCCAATACGGCAAGCAAGAAAGCAGCAACCACCTTCATTTTCACTCCACAAGAACAAGAGCAAGAGCAGGAAGTGGAACCGGACGGGGAATCGAAGTTTCTAGGGTTTTTGATGGGGATGTTTGATCTCAATCGTGACCCTTCATGTTCTTATTATAAACGAAAATGCAAGACTAGAGGTCCTAAAAGGTTAATGGGCTTGGGTCATTTACTTTATTATACTAGTAAAACTCAAATGACAAAAACTTCAAACACATCCCATGAAAAAAATAAGGGTAAATACTTATTTAGGTACTAATTATTTTAGCACTTTTATTTTAATCATTCAACTATTTTATCCCCAAAATCATCACTAAACTATATTTTTATATAGTTTTGATCATCCTACCTTAAAACATAAACAAAACTACCGATGTGCTAATGCTCTTATATTTTCAATGACACAACATTATCTTATGGTGACACATCGACATCACTGTTAATTCTTTAACGACGGGTGACTAAAGCAGAACAAAAACGTAAGTGTAATGATGATTTAAAAAAAATAGTGGGGAGATCAAAATGAGACCTTGAGAATAGCTGGAGGACTAAATACGAAATTTATCCAAATAAATAAATAGAAGAATATTTCATTAATATAATAAACTCTACATTTAAATAAAAACATTTGCATCTAACATATACTGATATCACATTGAGATGATATGGTTGCCACCATATTTTCATGCCTTGTAAAGTGCTTCAAACATGTTTGACATTGATCTTTCAGGGTGGAGCATAAAGGATCTCATAGATTTCAACCTCATATCACCTAGAATCATCGTATTAAACCAATTACAATCTAAAATTTTAAGTGAAACCCATGATGGACCCGTACATATTTTCGTATCGTGTCGTGATAATACAATTGTAGGTCGTATCGTGTCGATATAGTACACATGCAGCCACCATTGTTACCAGAAGAACCATCTTTTCCAGGAGCCACTTTTGCTTGGTTCATCCTCTTTTCTCTTCTCCATTCCCAGTTTCAAGGATTCCAGCCTTTTCCTGCACCAACTAGATGTAAGATTTACAGGAGGCAATGTGAACAGAAGTGCGATAAAACCGAAGATTCTCTCGGACTTTTAAAGCTAGACAGAACTCATATTTTTCGGATTAAAAGGAGAAACCCATATGGTTGATCAGATTAATGAAAAAATTTGTATAAAAGAAGACTCGGGGAAACAAAACTATAAAGATTTGATTTATGGGACTTTACTAAACATACAATGTCTGGAAAAGATAAGAAGAGTTCTCATAGATCAGAAAATGTTTACTTGGTATCTGTTAGTCGACCGTGCAGACTCCATCTTTGACGAAATCCGTCAGTGCCTTCCATTCCACTTGCCAGAATCAAGTGCCTACATACATGATTCAGTTCCAGTTAAGAACACATAATTCTGTATCAATATGCTAAGGTTGATAAAAGGGGAAAAAAGTAAAGGAAACTAATAGGAAAAGGTCAAATAACTAGCGACATAACTTGTTTTATTCCGACGCTTCATTTTTCTTTAGGTACCCGTTTTCAACAATCGAGAGAGACGTATATCCAGATATCTATACGAGGATGTGACTTTCCAAGAACCCTCTAAGATGTAGAAAACCATAGAAAAATAAGAAAACATGCCAAGTCAGACACATTCGTATCCAACATCTACACCCGACACCAAGTAACGTAGGACGAAATGGTTTATCCACAAGAACATGTTACTATCCAAGATGCTGCAAAAGCAAAGTCTGAAAGTAAAAGCGTTGAAAGTAATTTCATAGAGCTCGTACTAAGACATCAGAAAGGCTGAAAATTGAAATTTCCGTCAAAGTTTTGTTGATATTGAGAAAGCAATTTAGCTTTGTAATCAAGTACTAAAGAACCTTGTCTCGGTACTACTGAGTAACATGTGCAGAAAGGGTAATACTTTAGGACTATAAAGATTCAAGGATTCTTGCAAAAGACATAATAATATCCTAACCAAGCACCTCTCCAACGACGTGACTTCTGATTCAAGCTGACTAGCTCTCTCCTTTGCTTGGTCTAAAGGCATTGACAACCCCAATTTTGTTTCACTATCCTGAAGCCGTTGCCTTAGTTCCTTGTCCTGAAACCCAGATTTCCAAACAAACTCACGAAAGCCGATTCGCCATATTGATCAGAAATAACCATTAAAATCTTACCCTCTTTTCAGCACACTGTCGATATAATGCAAGCTCATCTTGACAGAATGGCTCGATATCATTAATCTGAAGACCTACAACATACAGAAACCATAGATGAATGTATGACTACATGCGAAATGCATGAGAAAGTATCTGGTCTATCATTTGGCACAATTAAGAAAGTAATCGATCATGTAACTAAAAGGAATGCAGATAGAATAACAGTTAATCAATACTGCATAGTTCACCTTCTACATTATGATTGTTAAGTGAAAAACATAAGACTTACAAAAATAAATTCCTTAAGATCCCATCACATAAATCAATGCCTTCAAGCACATGAGATGCGATTTCTTGTGGATGACTGGAGATGGCGGACCCATCATTAGATCATCGCCAACTAATATTGTTTCCTCCATTGTTGGTTGCGAATCAACTGAAACCCGCACGGCAGGTAGAAAATCAGTCAGGAACATTGGCCTCATTCATGATACATTAACTAGTATGGACATATAGAAAAAGTCAAATATCATTCACACACAAGAATGAACCGCGATGGGTGCTGGGGTGAGGTGGCATTCGAAATTTTAAATCCCCATATAATTTAAGACATTTTCTTTCTATTTTCTATTTATAATCTAATTTCGCACTCATGAAATTTTGTAACTTCGCACCCATAAATTCATAATATAAGTCCCTAAATTCGAACCCATAACATCAAATATTGTGTCCTGTCACTGATTCCATAGACTATGTTCATTCATACTTTAGCATATAACAAAAATGAAAAATATTTCACACTTTAAAGTAAAATCACAAGAAAAAGCTACTGCCTTTTAACCTTATAAATCATAAATCAAACGAACTATCTACTTACAAATGCCGTAGCATCCAAAATAAGATATCAAAAGCTTCACATACCATCCATGGCTGCTTTCTAGTTAGCTTTCCACCCAGGAAGATGAACTTGGTATTCAATTATTGTTCAGGATGGGTTACCTGTGAAATAAAGAAGAGAATAGAATCAACAAAGTTTCTAAATCATTTTTGAAATATTTGAAACAAAAAAGCATGGGGCCAGATAGAAGCAAAGATAGCCTTTTCAACTGGGGCGTTTAACGAAAATGTGAAGAAGAAATTATACACAAGAGAAGAGTAGCGCTGTGAAGCAGCAGAGAGAGATGGGTTTTCTCGATTTCCAGAGAAAAGTGGCTTGCTTGAGAGAGAGATGCAAAAATGGTGGGGAGAAGTTATCTAAGAGTGTACTGAAGGCCCAAATATACCTATGAAATGACATGGCCCGATGTACCTAAGAATTTAAATTACGGTAAACTATTCGTTTAGTACCTCAATTATCACTTTTATTTCAGTTTAGTTATGAAACTAATTTTTTTTTGTAAAATTATACATAATGTTACGGTTTGATTTTATTTTGATAAGCATCTATTAAAATATTAATTAAAATATTAATGGTTATATTGACATGCCATCATAATATAATGTCATGTTAGTAGTTATTGGTGGTGACCAAAATAAATTAAAAAATAACATTGTTTATGATTTTTTAAAAATAATTAGATGGTCAAAATAGAATAAAAAAATAACTGGGATACTATACTTATACTTCACCCTCCCACGTCATATCAATGCAAGGAAAAGTGAAAATAGCATAAAAAACTAAGTCAATTAAAAAAGTTTTTAAATACAAATGGTCGTTTTGTTAAATCTCTTACTATATAAAACGATGATTTGATTATAAAATATTATTTTATTAAATCTTTTAATTATTAAAAGTTATAAAATAATCATCAAATTATTTATATGTTTTAAATTTATCTTTTTTTAGTTAAAAACTGACGATAGTCTGAGTTAGACATTAATATACTAATTGTAATATGAAAAAAATTTGATCACAAAATCTAAAACGACTATTTTATCTCAATCAACATATTAACGTTCAACTCCAACTGTTATCAATTTTTTTAATGAAAAAGACGATTTTGTAACATATAAATAGTAAACTGATCATTTTGTAACTTTTAATAGTCTAATAACTTAACAAAACAACACCTTATAGTAGTAATCCTATTTTGTAACTTTTAATAATCAGAGACTTAATAAAAAATATCCTATAATCGGGATACTATTTTTTTACTTTAGCCTTAAATTATATTTTTTTAGTAAATTTAGATACTTAATATTTTTCATTAAGATTAGTGTTTTAAGTTTTTTTCTATTATTATTTTAAATATTTGGGCGTTAAAGATCATTAAAAATATTTTTTAAAGTTTAATCAACCAATTGGTGTTTGACTTATGATATATTTTTTTAAACTTTTTAATAATAAAATTCATAATTTTTTAAAATGAAAAATCTATATTTTCTTGTTTTATACAAAACATCCCCAAATTTATAAAACCCTAATTTCTAAATTCCTAAAACTCTAATTCCCAAATTTCTAAAATCCTAATTATTTATTTTATTTTATTTATATTTTTCGTATAATATTTTTATATCCACTTAGACGTAGTGGAAAATATTTTTGTCATTTTTATTAGTTGAGTTGCTATTACTTATGTTAATTCAAGTATAATATTTGTCAAAAAAAGTATTATAAAAATAAAATATTTTATCAAAATATTATATTAAAATATTTGAAAAGTGTATATATTACATCAAATATTCTATCAAAACATAAATATTATATAAACATTTTATTAAAATATAAATATTTTATTAAAATCACATGTACAAAATATCCTATGGAAATAAATAATCCATGCTTTATTTTTTCTCTAGCCAAAGCCAACAGCAGTGGATTGCATGTGCAGAATAAAATGAAGGAACAAAAATCAGTTAATCTCTTATCCATCCACGGAGTGAAAGACCGCCATCCATCCAAATTTTCCCTCTGTTTCACTGACTCAACACTCTTTCCTTCTAAAGTCTATACTCTTCCTGCTTTCTCACAGAAAAAAGAAGAAAAACAACTTTGCCTAAGATTCAGTTTGGTGGCACACTGCAACTTAAAAGAAAAAGAAAGAATTCTAATTGCCCCAAGAAATCTCCATGCTGACATGCTCTTCCATTACCCCTTCTTTCCCTCCTTTTCTTCTTCAAAACCAAACTCCCAAAGCAACCCTTTTTCCTCAATTCAATTACATTACAAGTCACAGTTTAAAGCAACTAAATCCAACCCATTTCCTTAAACCCCATGCTAATCCAAAACCAACCCTTTTTCATTTCAATTTGTACCTTCGGCTCTATACAAATGCCGGTTTCATGCAGGAAGCGCGTGATCTGTTTGATTCAATGCCTGAAAGAACTCTGATATCTTGGACTATCCTCATGTCAGGTTATGCCAAACATGGTCCTGGTAAGGAAGCCTTGGCATTGTTTAAAGACATGCTGTCTGTTGATAAAACGGTGCGCCCTGACTCGTATGTTTACGCGGTTGTGTTGAGAAGTTGTGGAGAAATGAGGGAGTTGGGGTTTGGCAAAGGGGTTCATGGCCAAGTTTTAAAAAAAGGAGAGGCTTTTCTTGACGAGTTTTTGGAGAATTCTTTGGTAAATATGTATTCAAGTTGTGGCCTTTTGGAGGATGCTGTTTTCATTTTTGATGGGATTGAGAAGCCTGGTTTGGTTGCTTGGAGTTCGATGTTAAATGCTTACGTGAAAAATGGGTTAGAAAAAGAGGGTTTGAATCTTTTCCTCAATATGGTTTTTAAGGGAATCGAGTTGGATGCTTTTTTGTTTTCAGTGGTTATCAAGGCATGTTTTAATTTGGAGCAGTTGAACTTGGGAATTCAACTACATGGTTTGATGATTAAGAAAGGATTTGGGAAAGGCTGTTGTTTGTTTCTGGACAATAGTTTAATGGATTTTTATGCAAAATGTAAGGATCTGAAAGGATTAAGACGAGTTTTTGATCAGCTGTCTGAGAAAGATTTAGTTTCATGGAACACATTAATCATGGGTTATGTACATAATTTTCATTACTTTGAAGCTCTTAGGATTTTCAGAGTTTTAATGCATCAAGTCGGTTATTGTGATGATTTCACAATTACAAGTATTCTCAAGGCAATTTCTAGTTTACATGGCATGGACTATGGCAGGCAGGTTCATGGATATACAGTTAGGATCGGCTTAGTATCGAATAACTATGTAATGTGCTCTCTTTTGGATATGTATATCGAGTGCATTGAGCACGAGAGCTCTGAACAGTGGGAAAATGTTCCTTTGAAGGTGTATGTTGGCTTAGAAAGAGGTGAATCCAATGAGAATATTATTATAGCAAGCATGCTAAAATGGTGCTCTCTGTTATCAAATCTTGATGCAGGGAAAGTATTCCACTCCTTGGCAAAGAAACTCGATGTTCATTCCGATCCATATGTTATAAGTGCTTTGATTGATATGTATTCCAAGTGTGGGATGCCACAGGCTGCTTTAAGGGTTTTCAAAAGAGTAGAAGATCCAGGCACCGTAACGTGGTCAGCTCTGATCTCTGGACTTTCTTTGAATGGGTGGTTTGTGGAAGCACTGACATGTTTCCAGAAAATGCAGCTTAATGGTATTGAAGCAAATGAGTTCACCTTAACATCTGTTATTCTAGCTAGCGTGGCTTTAGGTGATCTTAGAAAGGGAAGGGAATTACATTGCAAGATACTCAAGGCTTGTTATGAATCAAATCTTTCTGTAGTTAACATGCTCATTAATCTTTACTCGGAATTATCGGATCACCATCAAGCACTCAAGATATGTTCTTTGATTTCAGATGCTGAGATCTCATGGAATTTATTGATACAGGCCTGCCTCAAGGCAAACGACAATGAAATGATTCACAAACTTCTCAGGAGGATTCAATCATGCTCCGGTTATATTGAACCGATCACTGTTTGTGATATTTTCAGATCGTGTAATAGCCCAGTGTATTTGAATATGGGGATGCAAGCTCAGGCTTACATGACCAAAAGAGGTCTTCTCTCGCATCCTATGAGTGGGAATGGTCTCATTCAGATGTATTCCGAATGTGGACAAATTGCAGAGGCGAATTCAGTGTTTGAATTGATGCCTGAGAAGAGTTCTTCGTGTTGGACGTCTATCATCTCTGCCAAAGTGGAGCATGGACATCCATCTGAAGCTCTGGCTTTATTTAATGATATGAGGAGGAGGAATAAATTAGTGGACTCAAGCACGTTAAAATCAATCTTGAAGGCATGTGGCCGAATGGGTCGAGTAGATCAGGTGCATAGCCTATTAATGTCCATGGAAGTGGTTTATGGAGTTGAGCCATCAGAAGAGCATTATTCTTGCATTGTTGAAGCTTTTATGCGAGCAGGAATGCTAGAAGAAGTTGAGAACTTCATCAACGAGGTTGTTCTAGGTAAAAATGGCACAAAGATTTGGAACACACTTCTTTCATCTGCCCGTGTTATGGGTAACATGGACATGGCAAGATTTGCTTTGGAGAAGCTATTAGAAGTAGATCCAAATAACTGCTTTGCGAATCGAATGCATGACAAGGTCCTGGTAATGTTCGGTAAGTGGAAAGATGCATCGAGGACTGCAGGTGGAAGTAGTACCCTAGGGCCGAATTCTAGTTGCATAGAAGTGCGGAACAAAATATATGAATTCGTCTCCAACCAAAATCCGACCGAAGAAGTCTCCAATAAATTAGCTGAGCTAGGAAGAGAGATGGAGGAGTTGGGATACGTAGCGGAGAGAAACCATTTGCTGCATGATGCAGAAGAGGAAGAATACGATGGTGCAGGCCTTGGTCATACCGAGATGAAGGCCATCGCGTTTGGGCTCTTATCGTTACCCCACGGAATGTCAGTGAGGGTGACTAAGAGCATCAGGATGTGTGGTCGTTGTCATTCTGTGTGCAAGTTCATGTCGACTTTTGTAGATCGAGAATTGGTTGTCAAGGACAATTGCACCTTTCACCACTTCAGAGACGGTAAATGCAGTTGTCAAGATTCATGGTAGCATCTGTCAACGAAATGTGTAACTATATACTGCATATATCCTTACATCTAATCATGTATCTTTTCATTTGATTGTGCATATGCAATATCCGGTCCGGTCTATTCCACCTATTGAGGTGTTCAACATGGAGTTAAACAGATCAGATCCTATTTATCGCAAGGTCATTACTATAGAGACTCAGTATATAAACTAAATATAAGTTCTTGTAAGAATGAATCGAGTATAGGACTTAGATTGGTGGTTGGGCATTGGATTTTCCTTTCAATTACCCATGTTTGAGTCGTACTAGTTGCACATTTTGCTCTCTTAAATTTAAACCAATGCGATAGTAACATATGTCATCATACTATTGGATGAAGATTATTAAATAAAAATATGTAAAATTATTTTTTTTTTAAATTGTTAACGTAGAAAAAATATTTTTTTACTAATGTGTTATTGCCACATCAACATCTTTGTATATGTAGCACTGCCACATAATCATGTAAGACGGTCACGTTATCTCAAGACATTGACTGTGAGTTGACTAACGGTTTTTATCCACGTATGGGGTCTTTTGTCTCAAAATAAAATGTTACAAACTAAAATATTTTAAAAAAAAAAGAATAAAGATCAAAATTACTATTTATGTAAACATTGGGATTTTTTTTGACATTATGCCTTTGTAGAATTAGAAATTTCAATAATTTGAAGGCTTATATATAAAATAACCTCTTTAATTGTACCTAAAATCAAGTGTATTCCGTTTTCACTCGAAGGATTAATTGAGTTTTTATTTAAAAAATTATGATTAAATGAGCTGATTATTTTGACCAATATATCAACTAATTGAGATTAGATGTCACATAAACTCGTTATAAAGGGGACATACTTAATTCAAATTACTTTATTTACAACATTAAAATATAACTTTTTAATCTTATTTAAAATATATAATACCTTATCTAACTAGATGTAGGTTTGAACAAAACTCGATTTGATTCAAAAAATTAATTTTTCGACTCAACTAAAATTTTTTTGAGTCTAATTAATTTCGAGTTGTCATTTCATAAACTATTTTCGGTTAAAAAAATTTCAAGTTCAAATCGAATTATAAAATATAACTCGAATAGTAACTCAATTAACTCAAATTTTTTAGTATTTAGTTAATTGATTTTCAAATTTGAATTGAGTTCCTCGACTCTGTATAATATATATATATATATACCACATATGAAAAAAAGATGATGAGATATATATGTGACGTAAACTATTTAAATTTGAATAAAATAATATCATAATTTTTTTGAGTTCATTGTATGATATATAAACTATTTTTAGAAATCGGTGTTCAACTTCATTGTTTGATTGTAAAGTTTGGTTTCGAGACAGGGACTGTTGTCTGCAATTATTTGATTAACATGTATCTAAAGTCAGGGATGGGTAAGGATGGTAGACTTGTTTTTGACGGCATGGAAACCAAGAATGCTGTGACATGGAATTGTATGATTTCCGGTTATGTAACAAATGGTCTTCATTTGGAAGCTTTCGAAACATTTTACGATATGAGGCGCGCTGGTGTAAAGCCTACTCAGATGTCTTTTGTTCCTCTTTTAAAGTTGTGTGCTAACCGTAAGGAATTGGGTTTTGCAAGGCAGCTTCATTGTCGAGTTTTGAAAGATGGTTTCAGTTTTGACCCTAAAATCGAAACCGCGCTTATGATAGCTTACAGTAAGTGCAGCGAAATTGACGATGCATTGAAGTTGTTTTCAATGATGCATGAAGCTCAATCTGTTGTATCTTGGACAGCCTGCAGAACGGAAAAATTCAAGAGGCGGTGAAACTTTTGTTTAATGAACAAGGAAGGTGTTAGACCAAACAATTTTACTTATTCTGCAATTCTTACAGCTCGACCCACTATTTCTCCTTTCCAAATACATGCACAAGTAATCAAAGCTAATTATGAGAAGTCGCCGGCCGTTTGGAACTGCTATTTTGGATGCTTATGTTAAGCTGGGAAATATCAAAGAAGCTGCTAAAGCTTTCGAACAAATTGATGAGCGGGACATTGTCGCATGGTCGGCAATGCTAGCTGGGTATGCTCAGATAGGAGACTCCGAGGGAGCTACCAAAGTTTTTATGCAGCTGGTAAAGGAGGGGTTCAACCTAATGCGTTCACCTTCTCGAGTGTTATAATGCCTGTGCCGCACCCACAGCACCTTTAGAACAGGGAAAACAGTTTCATGCATGGTCAATCAAATCAAAATTAAGTGATGCTATATGTGTATGTAGTGCTCTTTTTAACATGTATGCTAAGAGGGAATATAGATAACGCGTATCAAGTTTTTAGGAGGCAGCGGGAAAGAGACCTTGTGTCATGGAACTCAATGATCTCTGGATATGCACAGCATGGCCATGCGAAGAAAACTCTCAAGGTTTTTGAAGAAACGCAAAGAGAAAACATGGAAATGGATCATATAACATTTATTGGTGTCATTTCTGCCTGTAGTCATGCTGGATTAGTGGATGAAGGTGAAATGTACTTCAACACAATGGTAAATGAACACCGCATTTCTCCAACAATGGAGCTGTATTCTTGCATGGTTGATCTATATATCCGAGCTGGAATGCTTGACAAGGCAATGGATATCATAAACAGGATTCCTTGCCCTGTCCCTGCAACTTTGCGGCGAACTCTGTTGGCCGCCAGCCGTGTTCATCGCAATTTAGAGTTCGGAAAACATGCTGCAGAGCAGCTTATTTCCCTTTACCTGCATCTGCACAAGAAGTTCGGTTTTGTTACGTCTTGATGCTTCACTCTCATCGCCCTCACCACGCTGTCCACATAACGAATCTATTTCATCAATGAATATGATGGAAGGTGCACTGTCACGAGCCATCTGAAAAAGGTTTGAAACCAGTTTTTCACTTTCCCCCATCAATTAATGCTAATAGAGTTAAAAATTAAATTAAAGTTTTCACTCAATTCTAAGACGATAAATTTATCAAGATTTTTACGAAATTAGAATCAGATTATGTAAAAATTATTTAATTAAATAAAATTAACCTTATAATAATTAAGTTATTTAAGTATAGATTAAAGTTAATACGAGTATATTTTAATTATTATTATATAATTGAATATTTAAATTTTAGATTTGAGAATTTGATTAATTTAATTTAATTAAATAAGACCAAAATTAAATAAATTTTAAAATTCGCTTAGAGGGACAATTGGCCCATGCGCCAATTTATTTGAGGGACTATTTGAACTTCTTTTGATATAAAACTCTACATTCTTCATTCAATTAAAAGGTCAGATTTCACAAATAAGGTCAAATGAATGAGAATTAAGATTCTTATTTTCTTGAAATCAATTCATGGAATGACTTAAACTAAATCCAAAGGACTGAAGACAACGTTAAGTGAAGTTTATCTAAATTTTAGGGTTAAATTGGTATTCTATCTAAAGTTTAGGAGTGAAATTAAAATCAATTCATTTTGGCTAATTTTTGTCATGTCATCAAATTAATATAAATTAACGTTTCTGTGATCAGAATGTAACAATCGATAACGTAAGTAATCAAAATTTAGTAAATCAATAGCATAACATCCGGAAGGTAATTATTTTAATTTTAATGAAAAAAATATACAAATACAAGAAGAAGAAAAATTAAGTAGGAGATTCATGCATTTTGTAAGGGTAGGTATTCATCCATTTAACATTGATATATCTTGAAGTTTAATAAATGGCTGAAAATACATAAGATTTTATATCTTTCCATTATGCAAAAGAAATTTCTGATATAAATTTACATATTTAAATAATTTGATTTTAAATCAAATTAATTAAATTAAATTAATTATTCGTATTTAATCATTCTATCAATTTAGTTCACAAACACATTATCATCATCATCCCTCGTCGTCTGGTGATGAATTTTAACAATAAGATGATGGGCTTGTCTAAAATTTTAATTTCTTTTAAAAGTTTAAACTGGACAAATTTTTTTTAAAAAATTAATATTTCATAAAAACTTTTTAAAAGTTAAAAGGAGACTTATTTAAAATTATTTAAATAAATGTATTTTTAAAATTTCGAAGGAATCAAATTAATTTTTTTAGAAGATTTGAAAAACCAAATAGAGATTTTTAAAATCTTTGGGGGAGGTCCCATTCGGCTCCCGTTTAGGTTCACCTCTATCCCAGCCCAGGCCACAATCAATTTTCTCCACCACAGTGCCACCGTCAACACCCCACATCACCATCAATTAATATAAGATTATAGAGTATATATAATTAACTTTACAAAATTAAAATGTTTTTTCCTTTAAAAATAAATATAACAACCATTTTTTCCTAACCCACTGGTTGTTTATTTGTTTTAACTTTGCTGGGAGTGTGATGACATTAATTTTGACTAGGGGTGTTCATTCGGTTAAAACAGTGGTCGACCGAACATAATTACCATTAATCGAATTAATCGAATTATTTTTCTTTAACCGTTAACCGAATCAAATAAATTTCGGTTAATTTCGAATTAACCGAAATTTTTTAAAATTTTCTAATTTATATAAAAATTGAATATTTTTTAATTTAAAAAACAATTTACAATTAATTTAAATAATATATAATTATACAATAAAAATTTTATATGGATTTTTTTAATTAATTAATATTAATTGATGTTTAAAAGGTATTAGATTTTAAATTATTAATTGGGTTTTAAATGGTTTGGGTTGAGCCCATATGTTATATATAATATATTTAAAATTTAATTTCGGTTAATTCGGTTAATTAACCGATTTCGAACCGAATTAACCGTTAATCGAGTTCTAAAAAATGTATTAATCGTTCTTCAACCGAACTAATTCGATGACCGACCGAATTTAACAAACTAATTTAGTTCGATCAATTAATTCGGTTAAAACCAAAATGAACACCCCTAATTTTGACGTTAGTTGCTGCTCTAGGTATTTCTTTACTTTCTTGTTTTTTAAATCTCACATTTTCATTTTTTTTCTTTC